CAAATATTTAAGTAAATGCTCTGTTTATAATAATATTTACCGGCCTGAATGTCTACGAAATTGTCATAGAAAATATGCGTCCTCCGACAGGAATCGAACCTGTATCCTATACGGAACCCTCATATCGCCTGACTGCAATTCTCCATCATTTAATAAAATAATAAAAATAAATCTAATAAAAAATGTCTTAAAATAATTTAAAAATTTAATAAAAAATGTCTTAAAATAATTTTCGGACTTTGTCGATTTCATAATGTGTGACGTCATTAGTTTACATTTGGATACGCATCGAACAGATATGAATATATGAAAGAAAATCATGCAGTTTAAAAACAGTAAAATCGACCTTGCTAACAGAAACGTTCCTCTGTGGCTCAATCTGTAAAAGCACGTCAGGCTATATGATAAATAATTGTCGGATTTTTTCCATTTCCTAATATATATATATATATATATATAATGATTTCAGTATTGATAAATGGTCTTTAGGAACTGTGTCCACAAAATCGTTATTTTTATTTCATGTATCAATGGAAAAACAAAATAAACTGCTGCTGCTACTACTACTGATGATGATGATGATGATGATGATGATGATGATGATGATGGTATTAAAGCCACGGGAGCCACATGGTCCCTCAGGAATATCATCCAACACCAGATTCATCTGTTGAAGGTCCTGGAGAACGATGTTCTGCAGCGAGGCCGTCTCCAATCTGCAGATTTCGGGTCGAACTCGTAGATATCTCTGAAGGGAGGGTACCAGATCGTCGTAGGATGTGACCGAACCAGCGAACACGGATAAAAACTAGATTAAACCACAACTAATTTGAAGTTGCAGCGAAAGGTTTCACGCTATATATCGATCGTCAAGCAATTCAGTTAAAAAAAAAAGAAGCCAAATCCGTTGTATATTTATAAATACCCATTTGTACATCCCATTCATCAATCGGGAGTAAGATGGCACAGCAGGAAATAATTTTAGTGTTTACATTGAGAGTCTACTTCCTATCTTTTATTCAATAATCTACTTTGATCAAGCGATGCGACTGTTTAATGTCTCTTACAAGAACAGATTTTTTTTCACCATTGCGTGCAAACAAATTATCCTTTCATACATTTACACGCCACCTCGAGCGTTTTCCTACATTTATCCTTCTGTTCCTATGCATATATATATATATATATATATATATATATATATATATATATATATATATGTGAGTGTGTGTGTGTGTGTGTGTGTGTGTGTGTGTTTAGGCAGCAAATTCTCTTTTAGGCATGTCTGATTGAATAAATTACAAATATTATGTTTACTTAATTGAATATTGATTTATTCAATTGTAATATACCGAAAAATATTCGTGAATATGAAAGGATTATGATAAAAATAAGCAGTCATATTGTTTGTAATTTATTCAATCACACACACACACTCACTCACACATATATATATATACTTATATAGTTATTTTCCAAGCATAGCTTAGATGTGGAACAAGGCCGAAAGTATGGGGCATCTAGTGAGGATCGAACTCACTTTTCAGTTGTAACTGATCTTGCAAGACAAGCTTGCTAACCATTACACCACGGCGAGGTGCCCAGGGGTTTTCTAAGGCCAAGTATGGAGCGCCCAGTGAGGATCGAACTCACTACTCAGTTGTAATTGTTCTAGCGAGATTGTAATTGTATGTATATATATATATATATATATATATATATATATATATATATATATATATATATATATATATATATATATATATATTTAAAGGAAAACAGACCACATTAAGATTCCATTAGTATAATTTATTTCACCAGAAATCTTATTTTCTCTGGATCTTCAGACTTCATTTTCAAGGGTGAAAAAATGAATTTAAAATTTACACTTTTGAAAGTCAGTATTAAGCTTACATAAGTTGACATAAAGAGGGGTGAGGGATAGTGTGAGAGACATGGTCGAATTTAGAGAGGGAAGGGGAATTTTTTAAATTTATTTTTATTACAATACTTAATATTGAGGTGAAGCGTGGTAAGGATCGGATATATATATATATATATATATATATATATATATATATATATATATATAAAATTGTTTCAAACAATGCTCCGAGACAGACAGTTAGGGGCTGATGATAGCCGTGTACAGAACGGCTTTAAATAGACTATATCTATGTTCAGGTAATTTTTTTGCTGTAAAAAATATATATGGTCTGTTAAAATCAAAAAAATAAAAAAATATTGAGCTCTATATGGATCGGTTTTAATAATTAATATTAGTAGGATCCACCCGGATTATACATCAACGGATCGATTAACTATAGTATATATATATATATATATATATATATATATATATATATATATATATATATGGTTTATGAACTAAATCAGTCACTGAGACCTTTGAGTTTCGGATAACTTATGGGCACTTCTTGTGCCAAATAAATTAGTGCTCGGTGATGAAAAGGTAAGAACTGTACTGAATAAGAAACAGCTTTATCCGAAGACTTCTATGATTCCTTTGGAAACATATCCTATATATGCGTTACTATCTACTGTGATCACCATAGCTTCGTAGGGAAACCACATGTACTACGACCGTAAGAGGTGTAAGTCTAGTATTAGATAGGATTGAGTGCTTTGTTTTTTTCTGGATATGCAGTTATGGAAGGCAAAACACATCAATCTGTCGTGTAATTTAAGCAGTACCATGCGCAAGATGGATTCCTGCCGTTTCCAATGGCATCAGGGAAAATTAAACGAAAGTGATTCGATTCCACACACTGCGTGGATAAGCATCACGCTAGACGCATATCCAATACCCAGCCATAAATAAATAGTCTAGCCTAATGATAAAAAAGTATCTGTGTCAATGCACTTAATTCAGCGATAAATATCAATCACAAGTGATCGGTCATGATTTGTATGATGACAAATCAGATCAAATTTCAACAAATAACTCTGCATAAGGATACATCATTTTTATTCTATTCGCCATCAAAATGCAAGTGCTTATAAAGTTTCGCGCGTCTTCAGTCGCTACCTCACAGGCGTGTCGTGGCTTCCTTCTGACTTTTTTACAAGGACTTTCACGGCAACCTGCTCCGACAACCTACTTTCACTGGTCCCCGAACTGCATGAATTTAAGTGTGATACTAGGTTGGCATCTCGGTCTCAACCTTTCACTGTCTTCTACTCTAACATCTTCTTATCTCGCACATTAAAATGTAATGTCAATCGACATCTTCTGATGCCTTGAGCTTGATCCCTGACCTTTTCTTTATCCTTTTCCCTAACACCCCTCTTTACTCTTGTTCTCACTCTCTGTAACCCATTGCGTGCTAGTGACACTCCCGCCTTCCCCTGAAGTTGTCCGGAAATTTGGTCGGATTTTGTAAAGCGTATGAGACTGAGTACATAACACCCTTCTCGCAAACACACACAAGCCAACACAACATTATATATATATATATATATATATATATATATATATATATGTGTGTGTGTGTGTGTGTGTGTGTGTGTGCGTGTGTGTGTGTGTATGTATTTAGGAGGAATAGCCATATTCAAACATATTTCAATGAATATAACCATATGTCTATCTATTTTTTATAATAATCCTTTCCAGTTCCCTTATCAGTTTCTTGATGTTAAAACGAAATTCATCAAAGAAGGCACCGTATTTTTTTTTCCTACCCAAGTACTATCGATCTCCTCCAAAATAATCCTCGGGGTGAACTACAAAGGCATACACACACACACATATATAAATATATATATATATATATATATATATATATATATATATATATATATTTTGCGTATATTTTGCCATCATGTTTCCATTAAGATATGTCTCATTCAATACTTTAGACAAGTTTTGTGTACTTATTTTCAGTAGGATCATCTCATAATCCTGGACAAACTTCTCAGTATCCTTATTTAAGGAAAAGAGAAAATTACCATGTTGATACACCTTAATAAAATAGTGTTCGATGTATAATAAAAGAGCTATAACATATTGTAATAATAAACATATATATATATATATATATATATATATTGCATCAAATTTTATTATAGTAGAAACTTCTCATTTGAATATGACGCAACATTTTTATTTATTAGTCAATGTGACTCTCTCGGTCAGTGGATTCGAGATATCTTAGTAAAGAAAATGTCTATTCCGGCATTTTCTTTATCAAAATTTTTCTAATGTGGAGGCCGTTAAACGAAAATAAAAATGGGGCGTCTATTTCAAACATGAAGTGTAATGTTTGACGCAATAAAAATATCGGATTAAAATAAATGCATTTATCATTAAATATATATCAGTATCTGTGACTCTGTGTGTGTGTGCGTGTGTGTGTGTATGTGTGTGTGTGTGCGGGCGCGTGTGTATATGCTTGTGCGTGAGCGAGTGCGGAGAGGAAATGGAGTAACTGTATGTTCTTCCCCAGTAAACGTTCTCTTCTAGTCCAACGATTGATATAATATTTAATGAGTTAGTACATTTATCGTTTATATTCCTCGCCCCCCAAAATAATCAATGTAGAGGACATGATACCGTTTCATTTCTCAGATCATCACTGAAGCATTTATGCAACCCGTAGTGCAAAATATGGCTTCTGAATATATAAGACAATAAAAATTATTTATTGTCGTATGCCACTAAGTGTTTCTTCCTGTTCATTTCCTCCATATTTTGTTTTCTCTGTTATTTTTTTTTTTTCAGTTTTATTTTTGTCTCTTTGTTTCTCAGGTTCTACCTTTGATTCTGTTATGATTTTTCTTTTTTATCCCATCACCGAATATTGTTTCCTGTTCTCCTTCAGTTTATGTTCTTATTTCTTATTCTTATATTATTTCGTGTTATTCTTCAAGAAGCACACTTTCCCTCAATTTATTTTTACATCTTTGCTATTTACTGATTTTCATTTGCTAGAGTCTTCGCTTTCGTTTTTATTCACATATTCCTTTTTTCCCGTTTACCGATGCCTTCTTCAATTTTGTTTACATTTTCATCAGTTCTTTTTCTTGACATTTCTCTTTCATTATTCATACACATTCTCGTTTTTTTTTCGTTTTATTATGCCTTCTCCATTTTCTTCACATTTTCATCTCTTTTGTTTCCTGAAGTCTTTTCTTTCATTTTTATTCATATGTTCGTTTTTTTTCGGTTTATTATGCCTTCTCCATTTTCTTCACATTTTCATCTCTTTTGTTTCCTGAAGTCTTTTCTTTCATTTTTATTCATATTTTCGTTTTTTTCGGTTTATTATGCCTTCTCCATTTTCTTCACATTTTCATCTCTTTTGTTTCCTGAAGTCTTTTCTTTCATTTTTATTCACATTTTCGTTTTTTTCGGTTTATTATGCCTTCTCCATTTCTTCATTTTCATCTTTTTGTTTTCGGAAGTCTTTTCTTTCATTTTTATTCATATTTTCGTTTTTTCGGTTTATTGCCTTGTCCATTTCTTCACATTTTCATATTTTTATTTCCTAAGTCTTTTTTCTTTCATTTTATTCATATTTTCGTTTCTTTCGTTTTTATTATGCCTTTTCTTTTAAATTTTCATCTCTTTTGTTTCCGGAAGTCTTTTCTTTCATTTTTTATTCATTTCGTTTTTTCGGTTTATTATTTTCCATTTTCTTCACATTTTCATCTCTTTTTGTTCCTGAAAGTCTTTTCTTTCATTTTTATTTACATGTTCGTTTTTTCGGTTTATTTGCTTTCTCCATTTTGTTCACATTTCATCTCTTTTATTTCCTTATTCCTTTTCTTTCATTTTATTCTCATTTTCGTTTTTGTCTTTATTATGCATTCTCCATTTTTTCAACATTTTCATCTTTTGTTTCGGATGTCTTTTCTTTCATTTTTATTACATTTTCGTTTTTTTTCTTTGTTTCCTGATGCATTTTTTCTTCATTTTCATCTCTTTTGTTTCGGAAGTCTTTTCTTTTTTTTTATTCACATTTTCGTTTTTTTCATTTTATTATTCCTTCTCCATTTTATCATTTCGTCTCTTTGTTTTCTGAAGTCTTTTCTTTCATTTTTATTCACATTTTCTTTTTTTTTTTCGTTTTATTATGCCTTCTCCATTTTTGTTCATATTTTCATAATTTCTGTTTCCTGATGCTTTCTCTTGCATTTTTATTTATATTTTCTTTTTCTTTCTCTCTTGATATTTACATGCCGTATTTCTTCTAAAATCTTCGGCTCTGCTTTCTCCTTCATTTTTATTTATGTTTCCATCTTCTAATTACTGATGGCTTTCGAATTCATTTGCATTTTTATTCTCGTTTTCATCTTCCTTTCTTCCTGATGTCTCCACCTTACATTTTTATTCCCTTTATCATCTTATCTCTTTCTGATGTCTTCACCATCATTTTATTCACCTTATCATCTTGGTTGTTTTCTGATGTCTTCACCTTGAGTTTTATTCACCCTATTATCTTATCTGTTTTCTGATGCCTTTCCATCATTTTTATTCACCTTATCATCTTATATGTTTCCTGATGTCTTCACATTCATTTTTATTCACCTTATCATCTTATCTGTTTCCTGATGTCCTCACCTTCATTTTTATTCACCTTATCATCTTATCTGTTTCCTGATGCCTTTCCTTCATTTTTATTCACCCTATCATCTTATCTGTTTTCTGATGCCTTTCCTTCATTTTTATTCACCTTATCATCTTATCTATTTCCTGATGTCTTCACCTTCATTTTTATTCACCTTATCAATTTATCTGTTGCCTGATGCCTTTCCTTCATTTTTTTTTTCTCCCGACCATCTTATCTGTTTCCTGCTGCCTTTCCTTCATTTTTATTCACCTTATCATTTTATCTGTTTTCTGATGTCTTCACATTCATTTTTATTCACCATATCATTTTATCTGTTTCCTGATGTCTTCACCTTCATTTTTATTCACCTTATCATCTTATCTGTTTCCTGATGCCTTTCCTTCATTTTTATTCTCCCTATCATCTTATCTGTTTTCTGTTGTCTTCACATTCATTTTTATTCACCTTATCATTTTATCTGTTTGCTGATGTCTTCACACTCATTTTTATTCACCTTATCATTTTATCTGTTTCCTGATGTCTTCACATTCATTTTTATTCTCCCTCTCATCTTATCTATTTCCTGATGTCTTTCCATCATTTTTACTCACCCTATCATTTTATCTGTTTCCTGATGTCTTCACATTCATTTTTTATTCATCTTATCATCTTATATGTTTCTTGATGTCTATCCATAATTTTTATTCACCCTATCATCTTATCTGTTTCCTGATGTCTTCACATTCAATTTTATTCACCTTATCATCTTATATGTTTCCTGATGTCTTTCCATTTTTTTTATTCATCTTATCATCTTATCTGTTTCCTGATGTCTTCACATTCAATTTTATTCACCTTATCATCTTATGCGTTTCCTGATGTCTTTCCATCATTTTTATTCACCCTATTATTTTATCTGTTTCCTGATATCTACACATTCATTTTTATTCATCTTATCATCTTATATGTTTCCTGATGTCTTTCCATCATTTTTATTCACCCTATCATTTTATCTGTTTCCTGATGTCTTCACCTTCATTTTTATTCACTATATCATTTTGTCTGTTTCCTGATGCATTTCCTTCTATTTTTTCACCTTATCATCATCTCTGTGTCCTGATGTTTTCACATTCATTTTTATTCTCCCTCTCATCTTATCTATTTCCTGATGTCTTCACATTCATTTTTATTCACCTCATCATCTTATCTGTTTCCTAAGGACTTTATCTTCATTTTTATTCACGTCTTTTCCTGATGTCGTCACCATCTTTTTTTATTCCAGTTGCCTTCTTGCCTTTTCTCTGATACTTTCAACTTTACTTTTAATACTGTTGCCTATTTCCTTACACCTTCTTCACTTTTTGATTCCCATATTTAATTTGCCTTTTTTCCTGATACCTCTTTATCCATATTTTCGTTCATTTCTACATAATCTTAGCTTTCTTCATTTCTACTTTGTTCTTCACTTTGATTTCTTTGCTCTCTTTCTTCCAGTTTTCTTCTCTTTCGTTTCGTCTTTGCCCTTTTTTCTTTTTCTTCATTTCATTTTAATTTTCATCTTCATTCTTACCTTACATTTTTTTTGTTTCCCGTTTTTCTCACTCTCAATCTCTTTCTTTGACTTTTTTCTTTTCTAGCTTTTTTCTTTTCTGTTTTATAGTTTTCTGGGCCTTTGCTTTTCTCTCTCTCTCTCTCTCTCTCTCTCTCTCTCTCTCTTTCTCGCTCTCTCTTAAATGTTTTTCTTCTTTTCTGTTTTTATAGCTTTCTAATCTCCCCCCTCCTCTCTCTCTCTCTCTCTCTCTCACACACACACACACACACACACACACACACACACACATATAAATGTTTCCTTTCTCGATCAGCACCCAACCAGCTTCCCGGTCTCTGGAATGACCCGCGATATTCGCATCTAACAGAATTCGTCGTCTTCTTGATCTACCTTTTTGACGGACACAAATATACACTTCAAAATTTTCACTGTAACGTATAAACCAACGGTGTAGCTATAAATTTTACCCTATTCCTTATGTTTTAGTTTTTATATCCATACTATTATCACTGACAGTTGAATTACAGAAAGATTTTATTTTTACGTCTTTGCATGAAAAAAAAATCAGTTCGTTTCTTTTTGTCAGGTTAATTGAATTTATGTAATGATAATAATGTTTGAAGCAATAAAAATATTGGATTAAAATAAATGCTTAAATTCATTAAATATATATGTGTATTTGTTACTGTGTATGTATGTGTGTGTGTGTGTGTGTGTGTGTGTGTGTGCGGGCGCGTGCCCGCGTGTGTGTATGCTTGTGTCTGTGCGTTAGCGAGTGCGGAGAGGAAATGGAGTAACTGTATGTTCTTCGTCAGTAAACGACCTCTCCTAATCCAAAGTTTGATATAATGTTTAATGCGTTAGTACATTTGTCGTTTATTTTCTCGCCCCCAAAATAATCAATGTAGGGGACATGATACCGTTTCATTTCTCAGATCATCACTGAAGCATTTATGCAACCCGTAGTGCAAAATATGGCTTCTGAATATATAAGACAATAAGATATATTTATTTTATATCCATACTGTATTACTGCCGCTTGAATCGCAGAAAGATTCCATTTTTACGTCTTTTCATGAAAAAAATTTCAGTTCAGTTCTTTTTGTAAGGTTAATTGAATTTAAAAGGTTGACATCAGTTACCTCCCTTGTGGTATTTTTCTTTCAACTCTTGTTTGCGTTGGATAACAATCCACAGATTGTTGTTATTTCTCCTATTTGATTCCAGTTCTCAAAGTAGAAGATACAAAAATGTCCTCCATAAACAAAAAATTCTAACTTCAGCTCTGAAAACAAATTAGAATATACTGTTAAATGTTTGTCTATTTATCCATTCTAAACAATCCCTGGTAAGATATGTGTGTGTGTGTGTTTGTGTGTATGTGTGTGTGTGTGTTTGTGTGTGCATGCTGTATATTTGTTGCATTTGTGTCTGCGTGTGCATGTGTGTATATGTGTGTTGCGCGCGCATTTGTGTCTGTGTGCGCGCGTGCGTGCATGTGTTTGTGCGTGTGTGTGCGTATGTGCGTGTGTTTATGTGTTTGTGCGTATGTGCATGTATGTGTGCGTGTATGCGCATTTGTGTCGTGCGCATGTGTATGTGTGTGTCTGTGTGCGTGTATGCGCGTGTGTGCATGTGTTTGTGCGTGTGTGTGCGTATGTGCGTGTGTTTATGTGTTTGTGCGTATGTGCATGTATGTGTATGCGCGTGTGTGTATGTGTGTGTATGTGTATACGTTTGTGTGTGTGCGTGTATGTGTGTGTGTGTGTGTGTGTTCCACACGGTAGCGGTTCATGAGAAGTAGGCTTCGAAGTAGAAAGTCGTTCTTACCAAAGTATTACGTAGGTGATGGGGGTGATTCAACCCCTGTGGAAATAGCAAGGTGGGTCATGACTGCAAATGCCACAGCTGGTCATACTACATAGACGGACTGACAATGAAAATTTCAAATAAAATTTCTACTAATATTTTGTTTCCCTTCCACAAAAATACTAAAGACTTCAGCCATACATCAGTGTACGGTCAGTTATAACAAATTTAGTCAGGGGCCACATATGATTACATGCTTAGATGATCATGTATCTTTCGATACGTGACTAACAAGGCAGAAGATTTTTTTTACGCAGTAGGTTCCCACTTTTTTCTGCGGTAGACTGATTGCCAGCCAAAGCTAAAGAACCCAGTGTGTCCTGCTATTTAACTCATACCTGAAGGGAGAAAAGATGGATTCATACTTTCCCCAAAGGCATTTGTGCGTAATTGAATATTACAAGTGTCAGTTGTATATAAACGATTCTTAAGATCAATAGTGAGTGAAACCTGAAGGTCTTGGGCAAAGACCAGCCTGCTTTGAACACTGTGGACTGGCGCTACACAATCACAAACTATACCAAATAACAGTAGCAGCAACTATAATGGATAGCACATATAACTCGAAGAAAAAATAATGACATAATCAAGATGTTGACATTCCACACACTTCAAGCAAAAGTTTAGGAACGAAACCCCCATCAATACTGAAAAGATCGATAACAGATACTAGACTTGAGAAAACTATTGTTTTAAGTTCATATTATGCAGTTTATTCTTCATATTACGTTCACATCACACGGTTGATTCTTACGTTCATATCTCATTCTTTATTCTTCTTCTTACGTTCATATTACATGGCTTATTTTTACGTTCATATCACTCGCTTTATTCTTCTTAAGTTCATATTACGCCGTTTATTCATCTTCTTACGTTCATATCCAAAATTTGTTCTTCTTATGTTCATATATTTGTTTATTCTCCTTCTTACGTTAATATCTCCTCTTTATTCTTCTTCTTAACGTTCATAATGGCTTATTTTTCGTTGATATCACTCCTTTATTCTTCTTAAGTTCATTTTTATTCATCTCCTTATGTTCGATTTTTTGAATATCTTGGGCCTTTATTTTCTTACGTTCATATCTCACGCTTTGTTCTTCTTATGTTCATATCACACGGTTTATTCTCCTTCTTACGTTCATATCTCACGCTTTGTTCTTAACCCATTACCATGCGTAATTACTAAAACTCGTATTGAGTCAACTTATTCACTAAAAAAGTAAAAACCTTGTTAAGTGCATTGGCAATATCGGAGAACATTCAAGCAAAAGTTTAGGAAGGAAATCCCTATCAATACTGGAAAGATCGATAACAGATACTAGACTTGAGAAACCTATTTTCCTGAAGAATTCTTTGAAGAGAAAGATTGTATATTCCTCAACCGAAAGCCGTACTACCTGTTCGATTAATGAATGCCAAATGTTTACCTGTAAGAAAACGACTACTATTATCATTATCATCACCAATGTTGGTGGATGATAGAAATGGCGATGTTAAATTCTGTCCAAAAATGAAATGAACCCACCCACTGGGTCATTGGGAATACGACGGTCAAACACAATAGATTATCACTCACTACAGATTAAGGTAATCCCCACTAATTCTAAGTTTCACGTAAGCAAATACAAGTGCTCCTCGAATATATTCGAAATGGATTTAGTCTATCGATATTCCTATGGCAAAGGTTGGAGAAGCTTCATTCTTTAGCGCCACTAGTTCAGACCTTTTACACCTAAGCTTCTTTTTTTTTAAGTCTCAGGCAGCCTCTTCTGAATAACCGTCTCTTTACTTGCATTATTTACATTATTCGTACTGTTATTCTCATCTTCATTGCCATACTCACAACGTTTCGGCCGTTGTACGCTCCGACCTTCTTCAAGTGATTGAAATTTCGAATCAAACACTTTATTTCTTCGACCGAGGTACATTGTTCTAGTTCCACGTGCCATGTCTCATCCAGATGTCTCAGTTATTTCCCTTTGACTCAACTCCCCAAGTTTTTGGTTCACTATTGCTGTGGCTTGGTATTGAACTCACAACTCTTTGGGTCTAGTTACTGGATCTAACCAACGTCTTTATCCACTGGGCCAACGCTCTGAATATGGCAATGAAGATGAGGATAACAGTCCGAATAATGTAAATAATGCAAGTAATTATAATACCCCATCTCAGAGATCCACTCACCTGAAGATGGCCGGAGTCTACAACGTCCGAAACGTTGTGAACATGGCGATGAAGATGAGAATAACAGTCCGAATAAGGAAATAACGAAAGTAATTATAATACGCCATCTCAGAGATATAGACAGAAACCGGTTCTTTGTTACACAGACTCCTGCGTGGATGCTTCTCTGAATATTAAAATCTTAGCCTCTTCAGGTCTAAGGTCAGTGGTTATCTATCCTACACACCTTTATAATGTTCACTTACTTCCTCCTTTTATGTCTGAATCACACACTCCAGTTAATAATGAGGCTTGTATTTGTTGAACATTAAAAACAAACGACGTTGTATATGTAAAGGGTGTAATTATTTCAATGTTTATTTTTCGTACAAGCTTATGTTCTTTTCCATTGTTAATTGTCCGACAATTCATTTTTTTTTTCGTGTCTGAAGGTACTAATGATTTAATTTATTTAATGTTGGTGTGGGAAGGTACTAATGATTTAATTTACTAGATACGGTTTTACGAAGTAGGTAGCTGAGAATACCATGGACTGAAAAATTGAGCAACAATGAAATTTTGCGGAAAATGTATACAAAAAGGACACTTATACATACAATCAGAAAGAGAGAGTTGAAATTTCTCGGGCTCATAATGACGAAAGAGGGCTTAGAAAATGTGACACTCACAAGACAGATTGAAGGGAAATATCGACAGAGGAAAACAGTACATAACTCCTACCTAAAGACCTTGTGTAAATGATTGACAGAACATGGATTAGGCGAGGTAGCAAAATAAATTTTTTGAGAGTGCTACAAAGGACAGAGGTTGTGGAGAGCCATGATCAAAGTTCATTAAAGGACACGCCACATAGAAAAAGAAGAATTGGATCATCACAATTTTCTCATATTTTCCGGTATCTTCATTATCTTTCTCGCGTATTTTAATGATCTTCCGTCTTTTTTTTAAATTATTTTTTTTTTCTACTTTCCTTTCTTTCCTTATCTCAGACTGCATTTTTTATTAGCATATTTCCCATTTCCAATCTTTTCTTTTTTTCTTTTTGGAGATTGACTTCTGATTTTCGACCCGCCATTTTTTTTTTTGGATTCGCCATCTTGAATTAGTTTTTCAGTACGCCATTTATCCTCGTTCATCTTTAGATTCAAGATTAATTTTCCTTTCATATTTTTTTTGTAGAAGTTTCTCTGCTGGCTCTTTTTTTCTTTATTCGGGGTGGTAGAGGGGCCCATTTTGTGTTTTATTCAAGATTCACTACTTCAGAATATTCCTAAAACATTTTTTCAGCATCTCTATACAGAAATCACTATGCTTTTTCTGCTTTTTGATCTTTCTTTGCAAATCAGTCGACTCGACTTTAAACGAGTCGGGTCAACTCTTCTCACATCAACTTCATATTCTAAGAACATATACACTCCTCAAAACTTATAAGCATTTTCTTAATCTGTGGTTATTAGCTTTAAATTAGATAACAACTTCTATAAGAAATAATTAAATCATAAATTTTCAGCGCTTTAGTCTTCCAGCAATATTTTCTTCCAGCTATGAGTTCATTATTATGACTTGTATCCCTAAACAACTAATATCTCAAAAAATTATTACTATCTAAAATATATTCTGGCTTTAAATAAACTTCAAAGAGTTGATAAGCCGTAAGAAACAAATCCGTCCAAGCCATTTTCAGGTTAATGATAAAAAAAGATTCTTTTTGCCAACATGTTCTCCGATATTGCCAATGGATTTAACAAGTGTTTCACTTTTTTGTGAATAAGTTGACTCAATACGTGTTTCAGTAATTACACATGGTAGTGGTTTAAGAATAAAGAGTGAGATATGAACATAAAAAGGAGAATAAACCGTGTGATATGAACATAAGAAGAACAAAGCGTGAGATATGAACGTATGAAGAATAAAGCGGGAGATATAAACGTAAGAAGAAGAATAAACGGCGTAATATGAACTTAAGAAGAATAAAGCGAGTGATATGAACGTAAAAATAAGCCATGTGATATGAACGTAAGAAGAAGAATAAAGCGTGAGATATGAACGTAAGAAGAATAAAGAATGAGATATGAACGTAAGAAGAAAATAAACAGCGTAATATGAAGAAGAATAAAGCGTTGATATGAACGTAAAAATAAGCCATGTGATATGAACGTAAGAAGAAGAATAAAGAATGAGATGGAACGTAAGAAGAATAAAGCGTGAGATATGAACGTAAGAAGAAGAATAAACGGCGTAATATGAACTTAAGAAGAATAAAAGCGAGGATATGAACGTAAAAATAAGCCATGTGATATGAACGTAAGAAGAAGAATAAAGCGAGATATGAACGTAAGAAGAATAAAGCGTGAGATATGAACAGAAGAAGAATAAACGGCGTAATATGAACTTAAGAAGAATAAAGCGAGTGATATGAAATTAAAATAAGCCATGTGATATGAACGTAAGAAGAAGAATAAACCGTGAGATATGAATGTAAGAAGATAGCGTGAGATATGAACGTAAGAAAGAAAAATTTTTAATATGAAGAAGAATAAAGGTTGATATGAACCAAAAATAAGCCATGTGATATGAACGTAAGAAGAAGAATGAAGCGTGAGATATGAACGTAAGAAGAATTGAGATATGAACGTAAGAAGAAGAATAAACGCCGTAATATGAACTTAAGAAGAATAAAGGAGGATATGAACGTAAAATACTGTGATATGAACGTAAGAAGAATAAAGCGTGAGATATGAACGTAAGAAGAAAAATAAACAGCGTAATATGAAGAAGAATAAAGCGAGTGATATGAACGTAAAAATAAGCCATGTGATATGAACGTAAGAAGAAGAATAAAGAATGAGATATGAACGTAAGAAGAATAAAGCGTGAGATATGAACGTAAGAAGAAGAATAAACGGCGTAATATGAACTTAAGAAGAATAAAGCGAGTGATATGAACGTAAAAATAAGCCATGTGATATGAACGTAAGAAGAAGAATAAAGCGTGAGATATGAACGTAAGAAAAAATAAAGCGTGAGATATGAACGTAAGAAGGAGAATAAACGGCGTAATATGAACTTAAGAAGAATAAAGCGAGGATATGAACGTAAAAATAAGCCATGATATGAACGTAAGAAGAATAAAGCGTGAGATATGAACGTAAGAAGAATAAAGCGTGAGATATGAACGAAGAAGAAGAATAAAATAATATGAACTTAAGAAGAATAAAGCGAGTGATATGAACGTAAAATTGTGGATATGAACAAGAAGAAGAATAAAGAATGAGATATGAACGTAAGAAAAATAAAGCCTAAGATATGAACATAAGGAGATGAATAAATATGAACTTAAGAAGAATAAAGCGAGTGATATGAACGTAAAAATAAGCCATGTGATATGAACGTAAGAAGAAGAATAAAGCGTGAGATATGAACGTAAGAAGAATAAAGCGTGAGATATGAACGTAAGAAGAAGAATAAACGGCGTAATATGAACTTAAGAGGAATAAAGCGAGTGATATGAACGTAAAAATAAGCCATGTGATATGAACGTAAGAAGAAGAATAAAGCGTGAGATATGAATGTAAGGATAGCGTGAGATATGAACGTAAGAAGAAAAATAAACAGCGTAATATGAAGAAGAATAAAGTTTTATGAACGTAAAAATAAGCCATGTGATATGAACGTAAGAAGAAGAATAAAGAATGAGATATGACGTAAGAAGAATAAAGCGTGAGATTTGAACTTAAGACGAAGAATAAACGGCGTAATATGAACTTAAGAAAAATAAAGGAGGAGGAACGTAAAATAAGCCATTTGATATGAACAAGAAGAAGAATAAAGCGTGAGATATGAACGTAAGAAGAATACAGCGCGAGATATGAACGTAAGAAGAAGAATAAACGGCGTAATATGAACTTAAGAAGAATAAAGCGATGATATGAACTATGTGATATGAACGTAAGAAGAAGAATAAAGCGTGAGATATGAATGTAAGAAGATAGCGTGAGATATGAACGTAAGAAGAAAAATAAACAGCGTAATATGAAGAAGAATAAAGCGAGTGATATGAACGTAAAAATAAGCCATGTGATATGAACGTAAGAAGAGGAATAAAAATGAGATATGAACATAAGAAGAATAAAGCGTGAGATATGAACGTAAGAAGAAGAATAAACGGCGTAATATGAACTTAAGAAGAATAAAGCGAGTGATATGAACGTAAAAAATAATCATGTGATATGAACGTAAGAAGAAGAATAAAGCGTGAGATATGAACGTAAGAAGAATAAAGCGTGAGATATGAACGTAAGAAGAAGAATAAACGGCGTAATATGAATTTTTAAGAAGAATAAAGGAGTGATATGAACGTAAAAAAATTTTGATATGAACGTAAGAAGAAGAATAAAGCGTGAGATATGAATGTAAGAAGATAGCGTGATATGAACGTAAGAAGAAAAAATAAACAGCGTAATATGAAAAGAATAAAGGAGTGATATGAACGTAAAAAATAAGCCATGTGATATGAACGTAAGAAGAAGAATAAAAAGAATGAGATATGAACGTAAGAAGAATAAAAATGAACGTAAGAAGAAGAATAAACCGTAATATGAACTTAAGAAGAATAAAGGTTGATATGAACGTAAAAAAAGGCATTGATTTAAGAAGAAGAATAAAGCGTGAGATATGAACGTAAGAAGAATAAAGCGTGAGATATAAACGTAAGAAGAAGAATAAACGGCGTTTATGAACTTAAGAAGAATTGACTGATATGAACGTAAAAAATAAGCCATATGATATGAACGTAAGAAGAATAAAGAATAGAGATATGAACGTAAGAAGAAAAATAAACACGTAATAAAAGAAGAATAAACCGAGTGATATGAACGTAAAATAAGCCATGTGATATGAACGTAAGAAGAAGAATAAAGAATGAGATATGAACGTAAGAAGAATAAAGCGTGAGATATGAACGTAAGAAGAAGAATAAACGGCGTAATATGAACTTAAGAAGAATAAAGCGAGTGATATGAACGTAAAAATAAGCCATATGATATGAACGTAAGAAGAATAAAGAATGAGATATGAACGTAAGAAGAAAAATAAACGGCGTAATATTAAGAAGAATAAAGCGAGTGATATGAACGTAAAAATAAGCCATGTGATATGAACGTAAGAAGAAGAATAAAGCGTGAGATATGAACGTAAGAAGAATAAAGCGTGAGATATGAACGTAAGAAGAAGAATAAACGGCGTAATATGAACTTAAGAAGAATAAAGCGAGTGATATGAACCTAAAAATAAGTCATGTGATATGAACGTAAGAAGAATAAAGAATGAGATATGAACGTAAGAATAAACCGTGCGATGTGAACGTAATATGAAGAATAATGCGTGAGATATGAGCGTAAGAAAAAAAAACAGCGTGATATGAACTTAAGAAGAATAAAACGTGAGATATTAAAGAAAAAAGAATAAATGGTGTGTAATGGACGTAACAATGAAAACAAACCGTGTGATATGAATGTAGGAAGGTGAATAAAGCGTGAAATATCAACGTAAGAAGAAGAATAATGCGTGTGATATGAACGTAAGTATAAACCTTGTGATATGAACGTAAAAAGAAGATAACGTGTGATATGAAAGTAAGAAGACTAAAGCGTGAGATATGAACGTAAGAAGAAAAATAAAGCATGTCTTATGAACGTAACAATAAACCGTTTGATATGAACGTAAAAAGAAGAATAAAGGTTTTGACATGAACGTAAGAAGATTAAAGCATGAGATATGAACGTAAGAAAAATATAGTTTATGTTGTGACCGTAAAAATAAAGCTTGTGATATGAATGTAAGAAAAAAGCGCGTGATATGAACGTAAGATGAAGAATAAAGTGTGAGATATGAACGTAAGAAGAAGCATAAAGCGTGTGATATGAACGTAAGAAGAATAAAGCGTGAGATATGGATGTAAGAAGATTAAAGCTTCTGATATGAGCGTAAAAGCAGGATACAACATGTGATACGAACGTAATAATAATAAGAAAGCATGCGATATTAACCTAAGGAGAATAAAGGGTGTGATATAAACGTAAGAAGCTGCATAAAGTGTGTGATATGAAAGTAACATGAATGAACAATTTGATATGAATGTAAGAATGAGAATAATGTTTGAAATATGAACGTATGAAGAATTTGTGAGATATGAACGTAAGAATTTGTGAGATATGAACGTAAATATAAACCTTGTGATGTGAACGGAAGAAGAATAAAGCGTGATATCTGAATGCAAGAAGAACAAAAAGCGTGTGTTATGAACCTAAGAAGAATAAATCGTGTGATCTGAACGTAAGAATAAATCGTGTGATATGAATGTAAGAAGAGGAATAAAATGTGGGAAATGAACTTAAGAATGGGAATAAAACGTGTGATATAACGTAAGAAAAATAAAGTTTTTGATATGAACGTAAGCGTGTGATATGAATGTAAGAAAAATAAACCTTGTGATTTGAACTAAGAATAAAGCCCGTGATATTAACGTAAGAAGGATAAATCATGTGATATGAACGTAACCATAATAAAGCTTGTAATATGAAAGTAAAAAAATAATAAAACGTGTCTTATGAACGTAAGAAGAAGAATAAAGCGTGTGATATGAACGTAAAAGAATAAATCGTGTGATATGAACGTAAAAGAAGAATAAAACGTGTGATATGAACGTCAAAGAAGAATAACTCGTATGATATGAAAGTAGGAAGTACCAAGCGCGTGATATGAACGTAAGAAGAATAAATTGTATTATATGAACGTAAAAGAAGAATAAAACGTGTGATATGAACGTAAGAAGAAGAATAAATCGTGTGATATGAACGTAAGAAGAAGAATAAAGCGTGAGATATGAACGTAACCATAATAAAGCGTGAGATATGAAAGTAAGAAGAAAAATAAAGCGTTACTTATTAACGTAAGAATAAAGCATGTGATATGAATGCAAAAGATATAATAAAGCATGTGATATGAACGTAAGAAGAATAATAAAGTGTGTGATATGAACGTAAGAAGGAGACTAAAGCGTGTGACATGAACGTAAAAGAATAAAGCGTGTGATATTAACGTAAAAAAAGAATAAAGTGTGTGATATCAACGTAAGAAGAATAAATCGTGTGATATGAACGTAAAGGAAGAATAAAAATTGCGATATGAACGTAAAAGAAGAATAAATTGTATGATATGAACGTAAGAAAAATAGGTATTGAAGATGACAAGAATATGGCGAATAGAACAAAAATTAAGATTCTAGTTGAATGTGATGCATTAATGCGCCAGTGTTCAACAAATTAGCATTTCTTGGGAAAATTAGTGAATGTCAATGTTTCATCTGTATTAAGTTACTTTCTCAGTTAATCATTATTTAAATAGAAATTATGTTTTGGCCAATAAACAGTGCTATATTTAATTATGAATTCTGCTATTGACTGTAGTCCAAGGCATCCAAGCCTAAAGAGCCCTTGCAGAACTCTCTAGTGTTGGCCCCTGATCAAACTAAAAAACTAAAGATGTAAGTACAGAGGAGATGTGCTTATTTTCAGATTTAATAGGGCACTAATTTGAAACACTTTAGAGTGTTTGGGCCGCTCTAGTTGGAGTTGGTCTTTTAAATTCCATTGAAGGTGACCCGTTTAGATATCGAGGCGTCTTTTTATATAAATATTTATTTAAAGCATTTCATGTTTTACACTAAGAATAATGATCTAAAATGTATATATATTTTTATAGACACCAAGGGTGAACATATGCAATGAAGGGGCCCCAAAATTTCATTAGCCTAAGGGCCTCATAAGCCCTAAATCCGACCCTGCCTATTAGAATGAATTAATAATTTATTTAGTGTATTCATTAGATACTTTTTATTAGTTTTCACCGAACACAAGGTTCATGAGTCACACTTCTATTTAAATTAGTTGATAGATAGATAGATAGATAGATAGATAGATAGATAGAAGGATTTCGTGAAATACATCTCTCCGGTACATATCATCATAATTTATTAGGGGATTTATGTCATACAACATCATACCCCTAGGCCACAGCCGCCAAATCAATATTGATCGAATATCCACTAGATAGATAGATAGATAGATAGATAGATAATGACAGATTTTAGATTGATAGATAGATAGATAGATAGATAGAGAGAGAGAGAGAGAGAGAGAGAGAGAGAATTAATATAAAGAACAGTCTAAGTGAAACGAAAATGAAAGGACAATTAATTTTCTCGGGTCTTGATCCTATTTTAAACTTAATTAAACCCGAATCTTCACTACTGTGCCACACTTTTGGCTACGCTTAGAATATCACCATATCAACACCAACTTTTTTATAAAAAAAAAAGGTAAGAAAAATTGAATGAAATAAATCCGAAATGCTAGAATATGAGAATGAAATAAACTTAAAACCTAGAATAAGAGAATTAAATAAACCTAAACTCTAGAATAAGAGAATGAAATAAATCTAAAATCTAGAATAAGAGAATGAAATAAACGTAAAAGCTAGAACAAGAGAATGAAAAAATCCCACAAAGCAAGAATAAGAGAATGAAATAAACCCAAAAAGCTAGAATAAGAGAATGAAATAATCCACAAAAGTAGATTAAAAGAATGGAATAACCGTAAAAGCTAGAATAAGAGAATGAAATAAACCTACAAAGCTAGAATAAGAGAATGAAATAATCCACAAAGGTAGATTAAAAGAATGTAATAAACGTAAAAGATAAAATGAGCAAATGAATTAAACGTAAAAGCTAGAATAAGAGAATGAAATAAACCCAAAAAGCTAGAATAAGAGTTTGAAATAATCCACAAAGGTAGATTAAAAGAATGGAATAAACGTAAAAGATAAAATGAGCGAATGAATTAAACCTCAACAATAAAATGACAACAATGAAGAGGACATTGACCAAAGATATTGTGATAAAATGCAACAGTAACAGAATCGAGAAAGACGAGTAACACGTGTATTGACTCAAATTCGACATAAAAATGGACAAAACGATAGTGTAAGCTATTCTACAATATAAATTACAAGATGGCATTATACATTTACGGATCACTCAAACTGATCTTCTTTTCTTAATGAAATATTTCAATATTATGGCGACGGTTGTCCTTACTCGAAATCAATAGGCGAATATCTCATTATTAGATTTTCTTTACATTCGTTTTGAAATAGTTCACTTGATTTGTATTGATTTTAATAATTTAAAATGAAGAATTTTATTATACTTGCGACAATGGAGTTAATTGCATCGATAAAAATCCTACTTTCATCACGCAGAAAATATAACATGCGATTCTAAAATTTACTTGAATATGACGGAACAAATATGTCTATTTATTTTTATAATAATTCTTTCTAGTTCTTTAAACAGCTTTTTGTGTTAAAATGAAATCAAGGAAGGCAACGCAGTTTTTTCTTACCTATTGTGACCAAGTAAATGGTTAAAGAAATAACAAAACAAGTGTTACCATTATATCATATATTAAACATTAAGTACAACAGAAGAGTATTACACGACTAGTGAGTGTGTGTTGGTTGACCCAGCGTTCGATCTATTCGATATTTACCAACCTCCTCACGAGGTAGGATGTGACACAAGGACGAGTTTAATGTGGGTCAATCTGAGCGCTTAAGCTCGGCCAAAAATTCCACGTAAACCCCATATAAAACGAGGTCGGTCAGCTGCTTCCCAAGACGAGACATAGCCTCGTCTGGGGATCCTCTCTGCCCGGAGGCAGAGAGTTTGACAGCCCCCACTCCACAAGGTTGTATGTGGCACAAGGCCGAGTTTACCGTGGGTTCTCCGAGCCCGTAGGCTAGGCCAAAAATATTCCCTTAGAACCTGCATAAACGGGTTCAGGGTCTGTTTACCTCCCCGGACGAAACTTTGCTCTTCGGCAAAGCCTCGTCCTAGTTCCTCTCTGCCCAGAGGCAGGTAGACAGGCGGCAACTGTGAAAAGTCACAGCCTCGTTAGAAGAATCTATTTGACTGATAGTATTACCAGCCCCGCCACGGGGGATGTATGTGGCACAGGGCCGAGTTTACCGTGGGTTCTCCGAGCCCGTAGGCTCGGCCAAAAATATTCCCTTTGAACCCGTATAAACGGGTTCAGATCCTGTCTACCTCCCCCGGACGAAACTTTGCCCAGCGGCAAAGCTTCGTCCGAGTTCCTCTCTGCCGAGGCAGAGAGTTTGACAAAAATGAACAGTCTGGTCGACTGTTCCACCACGGCCTACTCTCCTATTAATCTTATAGTAGGCGGAAGAGGCCAACATAGTTTCTTTAGAGGGACGACACCACAACATTATGTAAATAATTTTGATCTTCTCCGAGATCATCTTCATAGGGTTAATTATAAAGATAAACTTATTGTAACTGTTATAACTATTTTTAAAATTTTAATTTATCCGTTGTAGCTATTTTTTGCAGAACAAGCGTCCCAATGTAAGCGAGCTAAACAGAAATATAAATTTTTAAAATATTATATATTATACTAGTTTTATTTCATTTGTCGGATACAAGTTCTATTGTACAATATTGAAAAACACATTCCACCTTCACAATACAAAAAAATAATTGTTGACAACACCAATATATAACATTCTGAAAATAATAAACAAAAACTTCAAATTCTTGAGGCCCGCTATATCATACGCATCACCCAACATTCAACAAAATTTATTACTAGAGTAGCAACAACGTTTTGAAGTGCATTTAACAATTAACATTTAACTTTGTAATAAATATGGCGACAAATATGAGGACAATAGACCGAATAATATAAATAATGTACAAAATCACAACGATCAAACTGTGGCGACTTCTTTCATTAAATTCCTCTTAAAAAAAAAAAAACTGTTTAAAGGACTAGAAAGGATTATTATAAAAACAAATAAATGCAATTTCTACCATTTTTTATTATATACTAGCAGTAGAGCCTGGCGTTGCCTGGGGATGTAACAGTAAGAGATAGATCAAATATCAACTATCATAAAGACTGAAAAATAAAATTGACAAAGATTATTGTTTAAGGTTGACGGACACGCATGTCTTAATTTTTTTTTTTTTTTTTTTTTTACGAATTGGTCAAACCCAAACTCAAACAAAAACATTGTATTCAATCGTTATGGATCTACCGATTGAATAGAATTTTATTATAAACAATTGTCTTGTAAATGGAATTTTAAAAGCATTCTGTATTTAAAAATAAAGAAAAACGTGTGCAAGACAATAAGAAACACTATCTGCCAAAAAAAAACAGTGAAGTTTTGTTGAAATCAGTTGAAAAATGTAGGAAATCCGATCCCATATATAAATGAACACACACGCACACACACAAACAACCTGGGTTTTATAATAAGTATAACTCGATATGAGTTGTCCCCTTTCATTCTCATGATGCCTCTTAATCATGTTTCAAATTGATTTCATGCAAAAACAATTGTGTTTTTTCCAATTTTTGGCGCTGTTAGAACCACCGCAAGGTAATTTTATGTAGTCCTGTGAAGTTTTGTTGAAATCGGTTGAAAAATGTAGGAAATCCGATCCAATATATAAACGTACAGACACACACACACACACACACACACAATCTGCCTTTTTAATAATATATAATATATATATATATATATATATATATATATATTCATGGTTAGCTCACTTACAATGGGACGCTTGTTTTGCAAAAAATATTTCATAACAACAAGAGATAAATTTTAAATATTTAGATAATTAAGACATATCGAGTTCACATGTGTTTTTAAAAATCACAATCACAACCTGACTATATTTCTGAGATGAGTCATTATGTTCATTATTTACATTATTCGGACTATTGTTTTCATTTTTGTCGCC